AGGCTCCACCTCTGCACAGAGACTAACCCTCCCTGGGAGGGCTGGGCCTGCAGTAAATGCCCCAGGGAAGTGTGCTGAGGTGCCACTCTTACAGGCAGATGTGGCTCTTCATCTCCACCTGGGAAAGTGCCCTGTGGGCTGTCTCACCTGTTATTTCCAGCGTATCCCACGCTCAAGTCAGCCTTCTGGCATGTGACTTTTGGCTTCTGATAAATAAGCTCTGGGAAGGGAAACCAAACTGCTCCTAAAATAAGCGTCACCCTGTCCGTGCACCTGAGGGCCTCCCCTGGGAGATACCGCGTGGAACCTGGTGATTCTATTTTGGCTGCAGACTACTTCTGTGCTCATTTCCTCTTTTCGGCTGGTGTTATTAGATCAGTGACCTGCGAGTCAGTGAGAGCTCAGGAAGGTGTTTGGAGCTAATCAGAGAAGACAAAAGGATTAAGGCAAACGGCTCTAGTATCGTCATAAAACAGACCATCCAACAGTATGCTTTAAGTAGCATAGATAAAAACCCGTTGCCTTCGAGTCGATTCCAACTCATAGTGACCCTATAGGACAGAGAAGAACTGCCGCATAGGGTTTCCAAGGCTGTCATCTTTACGGAAGCAGACGGCCACATCTTTCTCCTGCAGAGCGGCTGGTGGGTTTGAACCGCCGATCTTTCGGTTAGCAGCCAAGTGCTTAACCACTGCGCCACTGGGGCTCCTGCGGCATAGATACCTTAACCCAAAAGCAGTGAAACTGATGGCAGCCCATTTGTCACTTTCACTTGGAGATAATGTTACCATGGGAAGGAACTTCTTCACCTCATGAGAACAGCATCGTGAATCCTCCTGAACCAGACCCATAAGCAAGCACAGTCGTGGACACGTTATCATTATGGGCTTATATGTTCCACTGAGCTGGCTCCAAGCTCGCCCCTCTCCCACACCCTCATCTCGTCCCCTCATCTGTCCACCTCCTGGGGCTCCCTCCTCCGCCCACAGGAAATGCCCCTGCACTATCATGTCCTCACCAGCATGCCTCCCTGCTCACCGATGTTGACCCCGGGCCCTGTCCCCGAGTCAGCCCACCTCCTCTGTGCCTCTGGCCTCATTTGGATCCACCCAACACCACCTGTCTCCCGACCCAGGTCCAGCCCTGAGCTCCCACTACAAATTAATGAGACTGCGTTTGGGTTAGGTTTGTGGAATCTGTCTTTCTTCTTTATAGGGATGGCTCATCTGTAGGATGGCCCTTAAAGGTGAGTATGATTTACAAGACTCTTTGCAAATATTCTTACAGTTCTTTCATTAGCGTTATTAAAAAACAAAAAACAGTTGCCATGGAGTCAACCTTGACTCATGGCGACCCCATGTGTGTCAGAGTAGAACTGTGCTCCATAGGGTTTTCAGTGTCTGATTTTTGGAGTAGATTACCAGGCCTTCTTCCTAGGCGCCTCTGGGTGGACTTGAACTACTACCTTTTGGTTAGTAGCAAGCATGTTAACCATTTGCACCATCCAGAAACTCCTCATAATCGCTAACTCGTTGCCATCTACTCAATCCCGACTCATAGCGACCCCAGAGGACAGAGTAGAACTGCCCCGCATGGTTTCCAAGGCTGTCGTCTTAACTGAAGTAGACTGTCACGTTTTCCTCCCTCGGAGCGACTGCTGGGTTCAAACCACCGACCATTTGGTTAATAACAGAGTGCTTAACCATTGAGCAACCAGGGCTCCTTTCATAGGGGCTGGTCATTATAAATTAGACCACAGCGACTTGAGGAAGATCTTTCCTTATGTCTCTGTGAGATAGAAAGAACTTAGACTCTGAAATCAGAAATACCTGGATTCAGACCCCTCCACTGGGACACACTGTCTACCTCTGTCTTTTGAAGCTCTTTAAAATAGCCTAATACTGACCTCCTGGGGCTGTTGTCAGTGCTGGATAAAATCATGCATACTAGGTCCCTAGAATGCTGTCTGGCACATCATGGTCTCAACAGAAGTTAGTGTCTTCCATTTCTCCTCAGCATGACTACAGTTCTGTCAATAAATAAGCATCCAAGAGAACTCTGACTTGATAATATAAACTTATGAATATTTTCTAACCTTTAAAGCTCAAGACACTTATTAAAACAACCCGTACCCATTTGCATTGAGTCAATTCTAACTCATAGCGACCCTACAGGACAGACGAGAACTGCTTCATAGGGTTTCCAAGGCATGGCTGGTGGATTTGAACTGTCCACCTTTTGGTTAGCAGCTGAATTCTTAACCACTGTATCACCAGTAGGTTGCCATATTTTCTAAATTCCAAGACAAAACAAAAACTTACCCAATAAGGAAGCAGCTTTCTTTCCACAAATTCGCAGCCACAGAGTTTTTGTCTTTAATTTCAGATTTCGTAAATCCTTAGACGTCTGTTCACCAGTGTAAACACACAGGCCTTTTTCCTCCAGATTTAAAGACCCATGCTGGGCTACTTAAGAGATTGCTGTGCTTTGGACATTCGTAGGCTCTTTTCTCAGCTACCTTCTGAAGTTGACACTCTCTCATTCTTTGCCCACACGCTGGGTGATGTGGGGAACTGCCTCACCACAAGTTTTATCCTTCCAGCACATACCTCAGATCATCTAAAAATAATGAGGTGGAGGAAGGAAGAAAAGCTTATGTAAGTAGGTCACTTGATAATTTCAATTTTAGATGTAAAAAAATTTTCTTTCAGAATTATTAGTTTGTGGAATATTTCTTGGTTCTTCTTGGAAATTACAAATTAATTAGAATGATTATAAAGTTCTCTGTAAAGCTCCACACAATACTTAAGCTTTATAATCAACTACCCACATTCTTATTCTTAAAAGAATAAAAAGCCTGAAAGTACCATGTGACTATGCTTTTATGGGTAAAGATGGAATGAACGGAGAATTAGTATTTCACAAAATATTCTACTGTAGGTCTATGCCTCAGTTACAAAAGGAGGCATCACCCAGATGAAGAAGAGAAACGCCACTCTCGAAAGATTCATGGTGCTTCCTTAACCATCGTTCACCACATGGGGCCATGATATCATACCTGACCTGCTTAGGCAGCGGAAACCTGAGTCTACATCCCCCAAGTGACTTCAGTGTGGGATTAACTCTGTGATTTGAGGGGAAATCTGGGGTACCTGACCCACCCAAGTCTTTGGTAAGCTGGTGTCAAGCCACACGTCGCCCCGAGGAAAGTCCTGAGTAGACACTCGATGGGAAACACCTACAACTTCTTCGAGACAAGAGTGAGAATATCCATCTCTGGGGTGGCCACCTCTCTCCTTTCTTTCCCGTATATTTATAAATATTACCGTCCATGTTCATTAACACTAGTATAATACAATCAGGATTGGAGGAAGACTCATTAACAACCTGAGTTATGCAGATGACACAAACTTGCTTGCTGAAAGTGAACAGGAGTTGAAGCACTTACTGATGAAGATCAAAGACTATGCCTTCAGGATGGACTACACCTCAATGTAAAGAAAATGAAAATCCTTACTACTGGACCAAAGAATAACATAATGATAAATAGTAACGAAATTGAAGTTGTCAAGGATTTCATTCTTCTTGGATCTATAATCAACGCCCAGGGAAGCAGCAGTCAGGAAATCAGATGACGTATTGCATTGGGCAAATTGCTGCACAAGACCTCTTTAAAGTGTTAAAAAGCAAAGATGTCACTTTGAGGACTAAGGTGCACCTGACTCAAGCCATGGTATTTTTAATCACCTCATATGCATGTGACAGCTGGATAATGAAAAGGAAGACCAAAGAAGAATTGACACCTTTGAGTTATGGTGTTGGTGAAGAAGATTGAATATACCATGGCCTGCCAGAAGAAGGAACAAATCTGTCTTGGAAGAAGTACAGCCAGAATGCTCCTTAGAAGCAAGGGTGGTGAGACGTCATCATAAGTACTTTGGACATGTTATCAGGAGGGATCAGTCCCTAGAGAAGGACCTCATGCTGGTAAAGTAGAGGGTCAGTGAAAAAGAGGAAGACCCTCAACGAGATGGATTGGCACAGTGGCTGCAACAGTGGGCTCAAACATAACAAAAATTGTGAGGATGGCGCAGGACTGAGCAGTATTTTGTTCTGTTGTACGTAGGGTTGCTATGAGTCAGAACCAACTGAATGGCACCTAATAACAACAACAGTGCAAAATAGAGAAGGGAGATGTGCTTAACATATGTCACAAATAGACCCAGGAGGACAGGGCTCAGTGACCCCAGCCAAGGATTGCCCTTAGGAGCAGGGGGGTTCTTCCACAGCAGCAGGTGAGAAGCAGAGCACATGGGCAGAGGCCAGTGTAGGCAGCTGGGTATGGTACTGAGAGCTTCTGGAGGCTTTTCGCTGATTGTCTCTACATTCTCAATGAAATAGGAAACCAAGTCACCAGCTGAGAGTGCAGATGGAGAAAGAGGTGTCAGCACTTTGAGAAGAGAGGAAAAGGAATGAAGTAGCCATCTAGGGGAAAAGGAGAATGAAGGAGCTAGAGAACTGTATACCGCCAGGCCATGTGAAAGCCCACATGAGGGGGGTGTCATGGATAGAATTATGTCCCCAAAAAAAAGTTTGTATCAATTTGGCTAGGCCATGACTCTCAGTATTGTGTGGTTGTCCTCCATTTCGTGATTGCAATTTTATGTTAAAGAGGATCAGGGTAGGATTGTAACACACTTACTAAGGTCACGTCCGTGATCCAATGTAAAGGGAGTTTCCATGGGGTGGGGCCTGCACCACCTTTTATGTTACAAGAGATAAAAGGAAAGGGAAGCAAGCAGAGAGGGGGGACCTCCTCATACCACCAGAAAGCAGCACCGGGAGCAGAGCGTGTCCTTTGGACCTGAGGGTCCTATGCAGACAGCTCCTAGTCCAGGGGAAGATTGATGATGACGAGGACCTTCCCCCAGAGCCGACAGAGAGAGAAAGCCTTCTCCTTGAGCTGATACCCTGAATTTGGACTTTTAGCCTACAAGAGTATGAGAAAATAAATTTCTCTTTGTTAAAGCCATCCACTTGTGGTATTTCTGTTATAGCAGCACTAGATGACAAAGACGGGGCAATCGTGAATTTAAAATGAGACCAGTCACCAAAATTGTTTGCTTTCTTTCTCTAGCCACACTGAGTGATGTAGGTGCAAGAGCTGAGTATGAGGAGAAAAGAAGTTAACAAGAGTCGTGGCTTAGCCAACTGAGTAATACAGAGAGAGGGCAAAGGAGTTGAGGATGTATGCAATGCAACTATTACATTGCCTTCAAGCCATCCAAGGATCATTCCACCCCCAGAACATTCTAGTAATGGCCCCAAAGCAGATTAGTTGAAAAGGAGAGTAAAGATCGCAATGTAATGTTTATCCTGCCTTGGGTTTTGTCTCTGACAATAGTACCAAGGAATACGGTACTATCGCTTGGGTCAGGCATACCTTAGTTACCAAAGTGACAGGATATAGGTGCCTTCCTTGATGACAGATACAACGTTAAGGACATTGTTAATAAAAAATCCTCCTTTTAAAAATCAATGGTGGTTTCCGAGGGTGGTTTTTAACACCCACAATTCATTTAAATCTTATTTTACTTTTTATAAAATTCTGCCCTTACCACTTCTCAAGGAAGTTAATTATTGAATTTTGCTGTCATCTATAAGAGCAATACTTCCTTTTTTCTTTTTACCCTAACTTACTTTTCTTATGCATCAAGTACATCCTAATATTCTGATACTTAGTTAGCAAATCCATGCTTAGTATGGTGATATCCTTGGTAGTAATTATAGCTATGGAAGTCCCTGCATGGTGCAAACAGTTAACACAGTTAACAAGCTTGGCTGTGAATCGAAAGGTTGGTGATTTGAGTCCACCCAGAGGCACCTTGGAAGAAAGGTCTGATGACCTACTTCCAAGAAATCAGCCACTGAACACCGTATGGAGCACAGTTATATTCTGACACACATGGGGTCGCCAAAAGTCAGAGTCAACTCAAAGGCAACTGGTAAGGAAGAAAAAAAATTCTCAGACACCGTTTACATTTCACCATAAAGTCTTTCATTGCAAAAGGATCCAATCTAGAATCGCATGTTGTATTTAGTTCTCAATCTCTCTCTGTTGTTAATTGCTGTCTAGTTGGCTCCAATTCATGGAAACCTTGTACATAACAGAACATAACATTGCCGGGTCCTGCGTTATCCTCATGATCGTTGGTATGTTTGAGTCCATTGTTGTGGCCAATGTGTCAATCCAACTCATTGAGGACCTCCCTCATTTTCACTGACCCTCTCCTTTACCAACCAGGATGTCCTTTTCTAGCAATTGGTCTTTCCTGATGACATGTCCAAAGTAAATGGACCAAAGTCTAGCATTCTTGCTTCTAAGGAGCATTCTGGCTGTACTTCTTCTAAGACAGATTTGTTTGTTCTTCCAGCAGTCCACAGTATATTCAATCTTCTTTACCAGCACCGAAATTCGAATGCGTCAATTCTTCTTTGGTCTTCCTTTTTCATTGTCCAACTTTTGCATGCATATGGGGCAATTAAAGACATCATGGCTTGGGTCAGGAACACCTTAGTTACCAAAGTGACATCTTTGCTTTTCAAAACTTTAAAGAGGTCTTTTGCAGATTTGTCCAATGCAATACATCATTTTGGTTTCTGGACTGCTGCCTCCATGGACATTGATTATTGATCCAAGAAGAATTAAATCATTGACAACTTCAATTTCTTCCACTTCTCATGATGTTTATCCAGTTGTGAGGATTTATGTTTTCTTCATGTTCATGTGTAATCCGTAATAATGAAGGCTGTGGTCTTTGATCTTCATCAGTGTTTCAAGTCCTCTTCACTTTCAGCAAGCAAAGTTGTGTCATCTGCATAACGCAGGTTTTTAATGAGTCTTCCTCCAATCCTGACGCCATGTTCTTCCTCATATAGACCAGCTTTTCTGATTATTTGTTCAGCATACAGATTGAATAAGTAAGGTGAAAATATACAACTCTGATGCACACATTTTCCAATTTTAAACTACATGTCTCTTCAAAATCCACGCAGACCCACTGCCGTCTAGTTAATTCTGACTCATAGCAACCTTATTGGACAGAGTAGAACTGCCCCATAGGGTTTCCAAGGCTATAAATCTTTACGGAAGCAGACTGCCACATCTTTCTCCTGTGGAGCGGCTGATGGGTTTGAACCACCAACCTTTTGGTTAGCAGCCGAGTGCTTCATCACTGTGCCACCAGGCTCCTTACATGTCTCTTAGTCTCCTTCAAAATGGAAGAGTTTCTCAGTCTTTCCCTGAGTTTCATGACCTTGACGCATTTGAAGACGGCAAACTGTAGACTGTTCCTCAGTTTGGGTTCGTGTGATGTTTCCTCATGATTACATACAGGATGTGCTTTTTTGGCGGAAACATCACAGAGGTGGTGTGTGTTTTTTTCTCACCGTATCCTGCCAGGTGGCACCTGATGTCAATCTGTCCCATCACTTGTACTAATTGTGATCACTTGATTAAGGTGGTATCTGCCAGATTTCTCTACTGTAAGGTTATTCTTTTCGCCTTTGTAATTAATAAGTGTTTTATGAGGAGAAAATTCGAAAC